GAGCAAGAAGGAGGTTATGAGTTTCTTGGGGAGACTTAACTACATCAGCCGGTTCATAGCTCAGTCCACTATCATTTGTGAGCCGATCTTTAAGATGTTGAAGAAGGACGCCGCTACCAAATGGACTGACGAGTGCCAGAAAGCCTTCGACAGAATCAAAGAGTACCTGTCAACACCGCCGGTTCTGGTTCCGCCCGAACCAAGTAGACCCCTGCTACTCTACCTTGCAGTATTGGATGGAGCGTTTGGTTATGTTCTGGGGCAGCATGATGAAACGGGGAGAAAGGAGCAGGCCATTTACTATCTCAGCAAGAAGTTCACTCCGTACGAGGACCGGTATTCCTTACTAGAGCGCACCTACTGTGCTCTGACTTGGGTAGCTCAGAAGTTGAGGCATTATTTCTGTGCTTACACCACGTATCTCATATCAAGAATGGACCCTTGAAGTATATTTTTCAGAAGCTCATGCCCACCGGCAAGCTAGCCAAGTGGCAGATCCAGCTGAGTGAGTTTGACATTGTTTACGTGACTCCGAAAGCAATCAAAGGATAGGGCCTATCAGATCACCTCGCTGAAAACCCTGTGGATGGAGAATACGAGCCTCTGAAGACGTATTTTCCTGATGAGGAGGTATCATTCATAGGAGAGGACATTGCAGAATCCTATGACGGTTGGAGGATATTTTTCGACGGAGCAGCAAATTTTAAGGGAGTTGGCATAGAAGCAGTCCTAGTATCAGAAATCGGCCAGCATTATTCGGTATCTGCCAAGCTCAGGTTCCCATGCACCAACAATATGGCCTAGTATGAAGCTTGCATCTTGGGGCTCAATATGGCCATTTACATGAACGTCCAAGAGTTGCTAGTGATTGGAGATTCGGATTTGCTTATACATCAGGCTCGAGAAGAATGGGCGACCAAAAACTCCAAGATACTCCCGTATTTGTATCATGTACAGGAGTTGAGAAAGAGGTTCATAAAGACAGAGTTCCGGCATGTTCCTAGAGTCCAGAACGAGTTTGCCGATGTATTGGCCACTCTATCATCCATGATTCAGCATCCAGATAAGAACTTCATAGACCCTATTCCAGTAATGATTCATGATCAGCCAGCTTATTATGCTCATGTCGAGGAAGAAGCAGACGGAAAGCCTTGGTTTCACGACATCAAGGAATTTTTGGCCGAAGGAAAATATCCAGAGCTTGCAAATGCTATTCAGAAGCGCACTCTGCGAAGATTGTCCAACAATTTCTTCCACAGCGGAGGAATCCTGTATAGGAGAACTCCGGATTTGGGTGTGCTAAGGTGTGTTGACGCAAAGGAAGCATCCAAACTGCTAGAGGAAATTCATGCTGGGACCTGTGGTCCACATATGAACGGTTTTGTCTTAGCCAAGAAGATACTCCGGGCAGGTTATTTCTGGATGACTATGGGAATGGACTGCATCCAGTATGTTCGAAAGTGCCACCGCTGTCAGATCCATGCAGACATGATAAAAGTGCCTCCAAATGAGCTTAATGCAACAAGCTCGCCATGGCCGTTCGCCGCATGGGGAATGGATGTTATCGGACCAATCGAACCTGCCGCATCAAATGGGCACAGGTTTATCCTAGTAGCAATTGATTATTTCACTAAATGGGTTGAAGCAGCATCTTACAGAGCAGTGACCAAGAAAGTCGTGGCAGACTTTGTCCGTGACCGTATCATTTGTCGATTCGGGATCCCAAAATCAATCATTACTGACAACGGTTCCAACCTCAATAGTGATTTGATGAAAGCCATGTGCGAAACCTTCAAGATCAAATACAAGAATTCCACAGCCTACAGGCCTCAGATGAGCGGAGCTGTAGAAGCCGCCAATAAGAACATCAAGAAGATATTGAGAAAGATGGTAGAAAAGCATAAGCAGTGGCATGAGAAGCTGTCATTTGCTTTGTTAGGGTATCGCACCACAGTCCGCACATCGACTGGTGCAACTCCCTATATGCTGGTTTATGGCACTACAAAAAAAGGGTCTATTTGCGGCGGTTTTATTACGGGGGTTGTTATTAACCTCCCCAAAATGCATCTAATTAGGGGGGTCTTGTTAACCTACGCACTTAAATTCAGTTTTGCAGCATTTAAAAACCTCCGCTAGCTTTAAAAATAAGGCGCTAACAATAGAAATCTATGCTACCTTTATTTTTATCTTTTCCTCTTTTTTCAGAAATTTCCGCTATTGTAATCTCCGCTCTTCACTCTACCGATTTAGGGGTTCTCTTTCCAGATTCTTCCTCCTCCTGAAATGGCAAGTTCTTTTTCTCTCTTTAATCTCCCATTTGTATTTCACTCTAACGATTTAGGGTTCACTCTTATGTTGCGATTTTAATGTGATATCCGATTGCAAAAATATTTTTGCGAAATATTTGTGCAATGCGAAAATAGTTGTGCGAAATAGTCTCTGCATTGCGAAAATAGTTGATATCCGATATTAATTCCTCTAAGTTTGATATTTGTGCGATTTTGATGTGAAATGAATTTCAGCAATTACAACTCGAATTGAAGCGTGCTTGCCGTTGAATCTCCTGACAAAAGGTACAACTCGAATTGCAGCTCTTTGCCCTCTCCTTCCTAATCTGTTTATATCCGATTTTAATTCCTCTAGGGTTCTGATTATGTTTTCCTAATATCTGAATTTCAGTAGTTTCTGCATGTGATTTGATTTAGGTTTCTCTACTCCAATTTATCTTCTAAACTCATTCTATGATTGGAAAAGAAAGTATAAAGATTGAATCGTTGTTCTCATATTGTTATTGTTGTGTTTTAGTAGTAACTGGCTAATTGCTGTTTATTTATGATTCAAGTTGTTACATATTTCATTTAAATGCAAAGAATATCTGTATTCGAAACTCAGCTCACTGAACTGTTGACGAGGCCGCATCTGAATTAGTAAGTAAGGTTTTGAGCTGAATTTGTGCCCGTCTATACCTCTTGAATAAGTCCAGTAGAGCTAATAGGGCATATTTGGTTCACAATAGATGTTCATATCCAAAGGCGGAACTCGAGGCGTGCTTTCATGTGTTTGCCCTCTCGCAAATCTGATGTCTAAGACAGAAGTCATCTTTAATGGAAACTAGCGGAGACAGGACTAGGCCAAAACAGGTCACGTGAGCTAGGACTAGTTAATACAAGATCAATATGAGAACAAGAACTTTCAGAACACTGGTTAATGCCATACAAATAGCCGAAGTTTCATCTTGATTACCATTTCAATTCTCAGAGTTATAACATTAGAGATAACCTCTAAGGTAGTCAAATCTCCTGCTTCTTCTTTTTGAAAATAGCAGTTGGTAGAAAGTCATAGCTGGTTCTTCAACTTTCTTCTTTAGATTAATTCTATTTTATTTCAGCATTTATGATGAATGTAGCAAATACCTTATACTTTCATATATGACCAGAGCTACCAACAAGTAGAGGTGAGGACCTGCAATCCAAGTGCTTCCTCCAGCTACATGAGAAAAAGGTAATGTAGTTTGCTGGGTGTTGTTGTATTTATTATAGATATAATTGGTATAGTAGTTTTGCCAACTGCAAGGCAGTACAAATAATTGTGCATTTGCTGTATATTCTCTCCCACATTTATTCTCAATTCGAGTCATCTACCAAATCAAAAATAGTATGTCCTTTAGTACTTTAATGCCAAGCACCCACCCATCCCTAAAAAAAAGGTAAAGAAGATCAAATACCATATCCTTTTTCAGGTTCAGCATGATATGTGGAATATTTTTACCTCATTATTATGACTCTGACATCAAATGCTTATGAACTTCCTTTAATACCTCTTTCATCCAGCCAATACAAGCTGAAGCTGGAACTCAGGCTTATGAACCAACCATTGGCTGGATTATATTGATTAGGTGCATAACTGAAAGATGATATATCATCCGGCTAGAAATGGAGAGAAATCGCTGCAGCACAAAGTAAAATTGATGGGATTAATACCTTTGGCTCCCTAGCAAGGAAACCAAGAAAGCTCGAGACTGTATCCATATTTGACCTAATGAAACAAAGTGAAGCTCTACTGCCCTTTTTGAAGCCCAAAAAAAAAAGGTAAAACTGATGGGATTAATAGCTTTAGCTTCTTGGCAAGGAAACCAAGAAAGCCTGAGATTGTACGCCCTATTTTAGGCTATTTGAAAGAAGCTTACTATTTTCCTAATGAAACAAAGTGAAAACTCTACTGCCCTTAGGGAAGCACATGATTTGCTCATGCATACTGAAAGAGTGTATCATGCTTTATTGCAACAAAAAAGACACACTAAACCTGTATTTCAGACAAACCAACAAAAAAGACACACTAAATCTCTTGGCTGTGCATCTAAAGCCAAGAGATTTGTTTGACATGGGAGATGTTGATGAAGAAGAAATTTACGAGAATGAGTCATACCAACAACAAGAATTGGAACAATTTTTTGATGTTAATTATGAGAATATCCAAGTTGCAATAGATGAGCATATGTCTGACTAGGAATCATAGTTTCTTCAAGTTTAAAGCATTATAGTATAGAAACTATTGCAAGTAATTAGATTATTTGATTGTTTCGTCGTAGCACTAATTCTACATGATTCTGTTAATTAGGTACTTCAAAAGTGCTTAATTGCAAATCTCATTGCTTCTGTAGAGCAACTAGCCGGTGAAGTGAATTAATTATGCTTGTGGATGTTCAACTAGACAGTGCATTTAAGCTCTTTTTTCAAACATGTCTCTCAATTATGAAATCTGTGGCTTGTGGGGTTCTACTTAATTATTTTTCCTCCTTGCAAAAGTTGTTTGACTGTCTCTGTTGTTGGAAGAAATTGCATGTGCAGTGTGCTGATTGTCTGCCATTGAGATTGTTTGTGACTACTCTTTAGACCCTGGCCAGGAGATATCCAATAGTTGGTTAGCTTTATGCCTTAAATTTAGTATAAAGACTAAACTTCCCTCATGTTCATAGTTAATTTATTTTATTGATTCCAGATATGCCAAGAGCCAAGCGTTACCAAAACTTGCAAAAGTCAGTTCAACTAGCATCTACTTCACAAGGTGTAGCACAACCCTTATCAACAACTGAGTCAACACCTTCACATCTTGATGATATGCCGCATTTGGTATCATTTTCTCAACCGACACCTTCAGTCCAGGCCGCAGCACATCAGACTGCATCAGTTAGGACAACATCACAGCCGGCCCCGTCAGTTCGGGCTGCAGCACAGCCGGCTCATTCGGTTCAGGCCACATCACAGCCGGCCCCATCAGTTCGGGCTGCAGCACAGCCGGCTCATTCGGTTCAGGCCACATCACAGCCGGCCCCATCAGTTCGGGCTGCAGCACAACCGGCTCATTCGGTTCAGGCCACATCACAGCCGGCCCCATCAGTTCGGGCAGCATCACAGCCGACACAATCCAAAAGCGTCCTGGACGTGAGTGTTCGCAACATTGGACAGTTGATGCAATAGGTAATTCTTTTCTTGATTTATTCAAGTGTCACTATTCTTCTTCTTCTTCTTCTTTTTCTTTTTCTTTTTCTTTCTAAACGTCCAAAAAGCGCTGAAATGCTGGCGAATTTTTTTCAGAAAAATTCTGCCCCGTTTCTGCCCAGATTCTACCCAATTTCTGAGAAGATAAAAGAAGTATTTTATATCCAGTATTTGACTCTAGTAATATGGCCTCATGGTGTAATTTAGTTGATATATATGTGCATGAGAAATGTTGACTATATTGTTATTTGTTTTCCTATTACTAAAAACCATGACTTGCGTAAAGTTGACGATGGTGAATAGGAATATGACTAAAATGACGGTACAAAATATTTGAGGTTTAGAACAATAAGATGGAGAACTTATTACTCGTTAAGATTTACCATTACCACTCTAATTGGTGAATTGTTGATTAAATGAGACATTTAAGAGATGGATAAATGGTATATTAGACAAAAAGACATATATATATATATATATATATATATATATATATATATATATATATATATATATATATATATATATATATATATATATATATATATAGGTAACTCTGCAAGTCGGATAAATAACTAAATCTGGTAAGTAAATTTCTAACACAGTCAACATATATAACTTAAAGAATGGAGATAGAATCATATAGTATATGACCTAGAAAATCAAGGATGACTCTGCCATCAGTTGCCCGTCCAACAGGTTTCTTGAAGTCATTCCATGGGGAAGGCCCTGAGCTGGGAAAGCTGCCCAAAAACCACCAGCATCAGTATTTGAATCTCCAAAGTTAAAGATTGCCTTAAATCCACATGATTTTTTGCATTCTGTTATTCACCATAAAGAACAATATTGCTGCAAAAACAACCCTTGAATAAGACCACAAACTCATTCTTATTAATGGCTTCATGTTTTCTGTGTTTTCTCTCAAACAAGAAGTAACTATGGATAAAATGTAGTGTGGGATTCAGTGAAAGCACTTTTTCCATATTTGTAGACAGAGAAGCTGTGCATGTAGACAATCAACTAGTAACTAGTGCACTTTTTCCATCTTTTAACTTGATGTTTATTTTTAAAGATTCGTAAGGAGCTACCAAGAAACTCAAAGTAAAGGTTAAGGATGTGATGTATTTATCCGACGGAAAATATATTGTAGTTGAATTTGATGATATGGATCAGCCAATTGGAGAAGGGCAAGGTGTTCTTGCAGGCTTTTGTGGAATTTTAGCAACCAGCTGCTCCTTATTTCCAATTCACTTCAACAAATGGCCAGATTTACCTAAGTCATACTTCAATTGTTGCTTTGATCGAATTATAAAGGTATAAGTTCTATTTTCTTATTGTTGTAACTCTGTTTTATGTCGTTAGACTGTATATTTGCATGTAATAAATTAGCTAACAGAAGTTTTATTCCTGTAGCCACGATTTTGTTTTAAGACAACTGAGTTAAATGCACGAGCATATGTTTATAGTTTTATTGGAAAGAAGTGGAGTTCGGGAAGACAAAGGTTGTGGTATGAGTTCAATGACCCACTTAAGACCAAAGCAGAGATTATGGATAATGTTCCATCAGGGATTCCACGGGATCAATGAACTTTTTATGTTGCTTACCGTTTTAATGAAAAGACAATGGTATTTATTTGAATGCTTCAATTAGTATGTGTAATTATATATTTTTTTATTTGTATATTTGAGTTATGTGTATTTTTATAGGGAAATGAGTAAAAGAAATGCTGAAATTCGGAAGAAACAAACTGTTGCACACACTGGTGGTTCCAAACCAAACTCCAGAAGAAGAGCTGAAATGGTGATAAATGTTAATTCAATATGTTTTACTTTAATTAAACCTGCAAACTGTTCCTATTTAGTCAAGTTATTCTGACTTGATTTTTCATTTATAGATGGCTGAATTTGGACAAAACCCTGAATGAGCGCAACTCTATCTTGCTACTAATAAGAAGGAAGATGGGTCATATGTTAATGAAGCAGCAAGAGAAATATGTGTAAGTTTCTACTTGTTAAAAGCTTCATCCTAACATCACGTTAATAAGATTTTAGCCACCTATTAGTGCACTTCTTGATCAGTTGACATTGCCCTTTCAATCTTTCAACTGATTGTTAAACTGTTTCAAGTGGAGTAGCAGTATTAGTACTATGAATAGTAGTAAGTTGTTTGTTTTCTCTTGTGGAATAGTAGAAGTAGTCAAGGAGTCTACAGATTGAGAAGGAGAAAGATGAGTATCTTATATTCAGGAAATTATAGATCTCTTGTGCTATTTTGTGTTGCTCTCCTGTAGAAATGTCACATTTGTATTTGATTATAAAACCAAATCTTCCCTCAAGACCTAAGTAATTAACTGGTTGTAAAGCAGATATTTCAATTATCAAAGTGCTACTAGGTCATTTGCTTTTAAACTAGTTAGATCTGCCTGCCAAGAATAGATTGAAATGTTGTATCTGTTACTGTCCCTATTTGTGTTGGAAAATGACAATATGGAAAATATTGGGGCAAATAGTCATGAGTTGTATTGATTGGTTGTATTATTGGCAAGTCTTTTGATTGGATCTTAGATCACAAGGTGTTGTCGCTATAGGTGTTGTGTATCTTATATTTCGGAAAAAATTGAGCTAGTTGTAAGTCAAAGCGCCACATATGAGTCTGAAGTTTCACTAAATGATGCCGTTTGTAAGGTGCTAGGAAAAGAGCATTCTGGAAGGGTAAGGTGCTTGGGGTTAGGAGCTATCCCGAGTAAAGTTTTTAGACAAACAAGACGTCATTTTGGAGGTATAAATTCTTCCAGTTGTGATAATGGTTCATGTTCGTCCAAATGCGAAGAGAAGTACAATCAGATTGTAAATGCTCACAATCAAAGCCAAGAGAACTATGCTCAAATGATGACTGCACACCACCAAATGATGAATGCTTTCAAGACATATATGATTATGAAAGAAGGGACAATACCTGAACAATTTGCTGGGATTTTCGTTTCTCCTCCTCGGGCAGCGGTAAATTAAATCTAGCTATATGTAGTTTTTTAATTTGAAAAACTAAAGAAAAAAAACTTTAAATGATTTTTATTTCTTTGCAGCCAAGTGATGCAGCTAGCGGATCCATTTCACCTATGGGCGTAAGAGGATCATCTGGTGATAGTAATCTTAATGAAAATCATTGAATTTCTTTGCAAATGTAATAGATGATTAAGTATGATATTTTACTTGAATGGTTGAACTAGATATTTTGTGTTTAAGTTTATTTTTGAGATTAATGACAATACTATCAGCTTATGATTCTATAATATGTGGATGTTATTATGTTAATGCCTCTTAAAATTTATTTAATATAATTAAAATATTGTATTAGAAAAACAGGTATCCCCACAATTGCCCCACAAACAAAAAAGATCTTCATGGAATAGGGGAGGTTACAACTGCCATTAAATAAACAAATTGAGTGGGTTAAAGCTGCCGCGAAAATAGAATTTGTCATATTTTGAAAATATATTGCGGAGGTTGAAACCGCCACAACATGAATATTTTATGGGGGTTAAACCGCCGAAAAATAACCCCCGTTAAATGGTTAGGCGGGCTGTAAAAAACTGCCACAAAATAATTGCGGCGAACCTTACAACTGGGATTTTGAAGACCGCCGCGATATCAAATAGCGGGGGTCGCTGACCGCCGCAAAACGTGAAATTACCCTCCGCAAATAGGCTATTTTTTTTTGTAGTGTGGTACGGAAGCGGTCATCCCCGCCGAGGTAGAAATTCCATCCCTAAGAATCATACAGGAAGCAGAAATCGACGATGCTGAATGGGTAAAGAGTCGTTACGAACAATTAGCTCTCATAGATGGAAAGAGAATGAACGTGGTTTGTCATGGTCAACTTTACCAGAACAGAATGACCAGAGCCTTTAACAAGAGAGTCAGACCAAGACGGTTTACACCAGGGCAGCTGGTGTTGAAGAAGATTTTTCCACATCAAGATGAAGCCAAAGGGAAGTTCTCCCCTAACTGGCAAGGTCCATACATGGTTCATCGGGTTCTGACGGGAGGAGCCCTCATACTTGCAGAAATGGACGGAGACGTTTGGCCAAAACCAATAAATTCAGATGCAGTCAAGCGATACTATGTGTAACCATTTATGATTTCCTTATGTAATTTGAACTACGTCTGACCTGATTCCCGTTTAAGAGGGGATACGTAGGCAGCCTTATGTGTTCGGTTAAAATTCAATAAAATTTTCATTTCCCCCCGCAATTGGAAACTGGGGCAGAATTTTGAGGAGCACCCTCAAAATTCCGAAGTAACTTCAGTCGATCATTGCAAGCAGCCGTCAGAAGCATCAACCCACTAAACTGGGGCAGAATTTTGAGGAGGGCCCTCAAAATTCCGTAGCAAGAAAGGTCGCAATGTTTTGAACCACATCGCTGTCGTTGGTTCATCTAAAGCTGTTTTTAAAATATATATACATATATCATACCCTTAACAAAACTCATGCATGACTATTATCGAAATCGCTTTGTTTGACAATGCTGCCCCGAGGGTACCTACAGTATCACCATAAACAGAGCCCAGCCAGTCAAGCGAAGCCAGCGAGAACGCGAACTAACCAATCCCTTTACAAAACTCACGATTTTTCTTTGGATGCAGGCACCCAAGTCACAAATCAGCAAATCCATTTACACAATCGTACTTTCAGGAATACAACTCCCGAAATTATCGCTTCACAACCACTATCCATACACGATATCCCCAGCAGTCACAATGTCGCAATCAACAATCAGCTATCCGCTATCAGCTAAGAATCTATTACTACTACTCGTCTCTCATTTTCCGCATAAGGCTACTATTCTGCCTTCCGAGGTTAAGCTCTACCTTCATTTGCATTTCTTGCATTGCATAAGGCTACTATTCTGCCTTCCGAGGTTAAGCTCTACCTCCATTTGCATTTCTTGCATTGCATATGGCTACTATTCTGCCTTGCG